AATAGCGCTGAGTTGTATGATCCATCAACAGGTACTTGGACAACTACAGGTAACATGGATGATGCACGGTCTGATCACACAGCATCTGTATTATTAAATGGAAATGTATTAGTTACTGGTGGATATGGTAATAATTATTTAAATAGTGCTGAATTGTATGATCCATCAACAAGTGTTTGGACAACTACTGGTAATATGACTAATGCACGACAAGATCACACAGCATCTGTATTATCGAATGGAAAAGTATTGATTACTGGTGGAGGTACCAATACTGATATTTTAAACAGTGCTGAGTTGTATGATCCATCAACAGGTATTTGGACACTTACGAGTAATATGACTATTGCACGAGGATGGCACACAGTATCTGTATTATCAAATGGAAAAGTATTAGTTACTGGTGGAGTTGATAATAGTGGTGCTTTAAATAGTGCAGAATTATATTAATTATTTCAAATAAATTAACTGTCACTTATCTTATTCTTTTTCTTACAAGTAATTCAAATTCCAAACAAGACTTTTGTTAGAAGAACTCCCGTTGTGTGACGTCCGCAAACTGTTTCCTTCCATATTTTTATTGAATAATCGCATATTTTAATATTCGATCCCGAATAAAAATAAATATCTTTGTTTTTTTACTCTTATATATAAGTTTATTATGATTAACAAAACTTAGAACTAATTCGATAATTTTAATTATCCTTTCAAATGCTCTCTTCATTTTGCAGTGTAGGTACTCATAATATTTAATTGTTTTGATAGTATTTATCGGATTTAGAATAATTCATCATTGAAATATTTTATTTACAAAAAGACTTTAAGGTAAGTACATGAATGAGATAGATGAATATATTTGTAAATAACAACAACAAATAATCTAAAGAACTATCTATATTTCATATTAGATATACGATGTAGTGAGAATGAGGATATAAATATTGATGAGTTAAGCAAAATACTGGCATCCAACTTCTCTTATTTTACGATAATATGTATTTTAACGAAAGAGAATAGACAATAATAAGATTTCTACATAATGTTTGTTTGCGATCAGTAATTATCTTCTTGTGAGTCTTAAATTAAATGATTCATATTACTCCAGAAAAATCAAATTGGTTAATGTAGAATATCTATCGAGAAGTTCTGTTGAAATATCAATACAAAACTATATACAGAGCTACTTTTTCTTGTTCATATTAATTGATTCTACAAAGGATGAAATTGTTCAACTTTGAATTAAGATCATAATCTGGATCTTTCAGTTATAATATCTTATGGATTCATCTCTATGTTATCACAGCTATTATTTATAACGTATTGACACAAATTTTTTGAAAGATATTTTTTCTATTGTATTGTTTGTGAATAGTTCATCTCATTTCACTATTAAGTAGTTTAGAAAAAGGATTAAAAGTTTTTGTAATAGATTTGATAACTATGTTGTTTTATTTGTAATATAACATTGTTCTTATTCTACTTTATCATAATGATATAGTTAAAATATATATATATAAACACATCTGCGAATTACAATGTCGTTATCTCAGATATGAAATAAATTTGATGTCATGTATAGTGTTATATATTTTACAAGGCCACATTCTTATTTATATCGATACACTCATATATTCATGGTGAAATATATTTGAAAAGGAAATACATTCGATTAAATTAATTCATAAAACTTAAGAAAATAAGAATAATTTAGTTTTTGTTTGTGATATCAATATATTCTCTTGTCTCCTTAACAGAATTTCTTCTTTCTTGTTCGATAGATAAATACAATACAAAATACTTTATATAAATTAGATAAAATATAACTGACGAGAAATCTTTTTCGAATGTTTCCTTTGCTCAGAGATACCGTATAGTACTCGAATAAAAACTGTAAAAAAATTTAGATTCTAATTAAAATCTAATTAAACTTCCATATTTTCAATTTATTATTTGCTACTAATACATATATGTGTGAGAAGTTTTAGTATTACTGGTACAATCAATTAAAATGCATATTATTGTTTTTTGAAATATTTTTATATGAAAACACATCACATTAAAAAATCTTTTGATATTATGATTCATTTTGCGAAAATAGCACTAAAAAATAGTTTTAATGACGTTTACGATAAAACCATTTCTTTTCTTTCCATGTGTATATTTGATAGAGGTGGTGAGCTTGGACAAAGAAATATTATTTCATGATTTTTCTACAAACTGATCTAGTCACGAGTATGAACAAAGTAGATAATTCATCCAGTTAAATATGCTCTCTAAGATCACTCGGTTCTTTATAGTACGCAAAGGTTTTGATTATTGTGAAGTATTTCCATATTTTTCATGTTTAAACACGTGTATATGGATTATAAGCGTTCAAGAGGAGCTTGATTCATCTAAATACGTATCGGATATGTAAAAGTTTTGCCATAGTTTTTCTTTTGTACATAACAAAGTACACGTACCAAGCACTATTTCCGTACTGAAGTATAAGAGCAAATATACTTTTAGATTGTTTAAAAAACTCAACATAGCTTTTAAAGTTTTGTTTTCTAATTCAGCTTGTAAAATTGAAGAAGAACAATGATCAAATCAGTTATTGATGCTGAATCGGAATAATTTAAATTTAAAACATGTCCATGGCTCTAAACGAATGAAATCTTGACTTTTTTTACGAATTGTTTAATTATTATTCTTTTGGTCAAAAACTTGGTCTTCAAAATATAGAAGCGAAGAATACATTCGTGATCTCCTGTATTCAACAATGTATAATTCGTTCAAGTCTATCGTCTGCTACTTTTTTTTCCTTTCTAGCACCTTAAAATGAAAGCACTGAACAACGAAACAAATCTGAAACATGATTAAATGTGAATTATTTCTTTAATCTGAATCACATGCTGATAGATGAGGTTTTAGTTTATAATTAATGTAAACATTAAATGTTCTTGCATTGTCTTTAAACCATGTATAGATTGATTCATCAACGCATTTGATTTTTATTAATGATAATTTGGAACATTTTGCTAATATTAATAAAACATCATCAACATTATCGATATCACAATGAAACTCTTCGACATTTGAAAATGTTTTACAAAACCAATCTATATCTGGAATTTTAAGATAATTATAGAACGTTGGAAAACTGTAATCCAACATTTTAATCTTTTTGTTCAAAAGTTCACAGAGTTCGTGATTGGTGTAAAATGAACTTGTAATTTGCTTCTTTAAGATTAATGATGATATATTTGGCATTTGCTCTAATATTTCAAAGAGTAATTCTAATTTAATTGCACATCTTTTTGTAATTTCCAATTTTGTGATATTTGATAAGTTGACCATCTTCTTCAAATGTTCTATTTTGAATTCGTACTTATCGTCTTCATCATGATTACAAGGAGTACTTGCTAAACTTAATGATTGAACATTTCGAAAATACCATGATGAATCATCTCTAATTGCACTTGGAAATAAAGATAGATATTTAACATTGTCAAATTCATTTAAAACATTTGTCGGTGAACTATTGTATTTTTTCATAGTAGGTTTTAATGTATAGAAATGGGATATGTATGGTATAGTATAAACTGATGCTCTTTCGCCATAGATTACATAATTGATATACCAATTATATTGATACCAAAAATCAGTTTGAAATGGTGAAAATTTGGTTAACATATTATCATACGAATCAACATAGGGACAATCAAACTTGAAGTTGAATACACGTAATAGTGGTAATGAAGATTTGATGAGATGTTCCCATCGATCAGCATCAACCATATCATTACCATAATCCGCAACGATTGAAAGAATTTTCAAGTTTGGAGTACATTTTAGCAACAGTTCGATAAATCGAAAAGAAGTTACAGAATAATCTATATGTAACTGTTTTAAATAAACAGCACATATCTTACTAAAATCAGATTTATAGTCCACATTGTTATCATCTTCCATATCATAATCATTAATCGTGTCGATTCTTATATATTTTAACATCGATGCATAATTCAATATTGTTAGTAATTCAGATACAGTACACAAACGAATTCTTAATGATGTAACTGATGATGTTCCATAAATAGATGTTGGATGATAGCCGTCTAATATTAACACTTGTATTTTCGTTTTAGATATAGCTTTTGCTTCTATCCTCCAGCTAGGAGCATAAAATCGGTATAAATTAGGTAATAAGGTTAACATAGATGCGACTTGTTCGTATTCAGTATGATAATTAAGCGTGCCAATAAATGATAATGATCGAAGGCGGATAAATTCATTTAATGCAAATAATGACAAAAATGATTCAATCTGTTCACATGTACCTATATTTGATAATTTTAAATAAATGATGTTTCGTTTTATTTCCGGATTTATTCGTATTGTTCCACAAAACTCATTGAACGAAGACTTTTTAACTTGTTCAAAATTGAGATGTAAATGAATATTTCGAATAAGTATATAAAATCGATAATTTAACCGATCAAATGAATAAAAGATATCGGGTGCATTGAGATATTGAAAGCATTCAATGAGTATTTCATTTGGTAATTGTTCAAATTGCATCTTGCTCGATATTTTATCTAGAATAAGAAAAAGAATAACAACATGTATTTATTGATAATATATGCTCGTATTCTATGTTATAAATAGTGTATGAATAAAAGAAAGAATGTGGGAAGAAATAATTTTAACTTGTTCTTCTAAACTGTACATAAGCCATTGTTTTAGCTTTAACTATATTCCGTGTGGAGATTCAATACACAGAGACATCTTTTTATTATAGTTTGTAATTTATCAAACATTAGCTTACAGTGAAATATTTTGTAAAACTATCTGATAAATACACGTTAATATTCTATAAATGTCACGCATGACAATCGCTTTTTGTTAAAACGAACTTTTGTACCTATTATACGAATATACTCGATAGTTAATATTACTTTTCTTTTTTGTGCCGATGACATCAGTATATTCTGATAACCTTTGAATAATTATTTCAAGGCATCAAGAAAGATAACTCTTGACGGTTAATGACATTTTCATTTTTCGAGTATCTGTCAATACTGTTCGTAGATCTTTGAGCACTATCACAGGTATATAGTCATGTTCTTCGAGTATACTTACGTTAATTAGCAACAACTTTTGTCTGTTAAATATGTCCTCGATCACATTTGCCTGATAAAACTTCTTGTTTTTAAAGTGAATAGTGTTGAATATATTGATAATCAAAAAAAACAATAAGGAAGTATATTTAAACTCTTACACTAAAACAATATTTTTTCACAACGAAACATACAAATACAAAAAGCAGAGTAACGAAAAGTTTCTAACTAATGTACAACAATACAATTGGTTATGAAGAGAAATAAAGAACCGACAATAAATGAAGTGAATGGTAAAAGCATGATATAATTTCAGTTAATCGTTTTTTATTTAGTGGTTGCTCCCCCAGGAGTCACGTTCGCATTTGCAGGCATCACGATGTTTGTTTTTTTGCCAAAATAACAAAAACAGTGTTTGACTTGTTGGCGAAACGTTTTTGAGACAATGAGAAATACATAGAAACCACTCTTTAGACAAGAAAAATAATTAACAAAATGATGAAATAAAGGATGCCTTACTTACTCTATATGTGATATTACCTAAAGAATTGACAATATTAAAGATGAAATATTCAATATTTTCTTGTTCCGCCGATTTGTTCAGAGTAAGTGATGCTGATGAGTATGCATCGAAAAAAGCACGGGGCATAATAGTAATCAAAATTAATATTATTTGTCCTAAAATCATATAAGTAAGTTGGCGATCAGCTCCTTGTGGTTGACGTGCATTTGTTAAAGTGTGCATATTTCGATATGCAAGTGTACCAAATATAAGGACAATAACCAGCGGAACTGCTGTACAGAAAAACCAATGATTAACATAAGTATAGTAAGTTCCCCAAATGACATTGTAATTGGCACAAACGTTCGAACTAAATATCAATAAAAATACAGGTATATTATAATGACATAGAAACTTTCAAGATGATTTCTTCTTTTCCCTATTCTGATACTTTTCAAAACATTATAAATATACAATATATATATATATCGTGAAGAACTAATACTCTTTATCAAAATTAAATAAATAATTTTATGAGTATAAAAGATTCATCATGCATTTCTGATTTGATCATCTAGATATATCTTATCTGCATTGAAGCATATACTAAATTTTGTCATAATTTTTAATACAATATTAGATAAGCAATTCTGACAGTTGTTGTGAATTAATTCATATAGAAAACCGACGCATTTTATCATAAACACTGACATATATATTGCATATGGTTATTCTATAAAAAAAGAATCATTTTAACAGACTTACGTATTTATGAAAATCGCAAACCTATCAAGATGGTTATATTAATAACTTACTAACCTTATATAAGTGAAAATGAGATCCGGTACACATGTAAGTGTCCAGAAAATAATTACACCAGCACTAATATAATGAGCCCGTTTGATCTTGCTCAATTGTCGTAGATTAGCAGCTCGTGAGGTCATCAGAAAGCGATCAATCGTTGCCATACATTCGCATGTCGTTGACAAACCAAAACAAGTGTCAATAAGATATGCCCTTATTTTGCACCATGCAGGTGAGAGAAGAGTTAAATCTAAACCAAAGCCAATAGCAGAAGCACGAGATATTCCTGCAGCCAAGTACTGCACAGATTGTGTAATCGCTGATATAAGTAGAAAGAATGTGCATGGCTGAGTACGATACATACGCGAAGTCGAAAGTGTAATTGTACTCATTAAACTACCAAAAAAACCTATACACCAGAATGGAATAAATACATAAAGTGTATACATTTGAGTGATATACGCCCATGATGCCATATTATGTACCTATTTGTTTGCAAAATATTTCCGCTAAGTATTGTCTGTACACTGCTGAAAGAGATAATATAAACATTTTCAAAACTATATCCTTAACATCTTCTAGAATATTTTTTTTCGTTTTATTGAATGGATCGTACGACCCGTTCTTCTCTCCTTAAGAAAGAACGTCATTTTTACTCTCGATATTTATGACAATAAATATACTAAGCAGAAGTCAAATGCGTAGAATATTTTCTTTAGAAATATGTTTACTTCGTTTTGCAGTACTAGGAAAATCTAATTATATAACGTACATTTTGAATGAATGAGAACAAACGAGTTATTATCTTTCTATTTACATCCATATATATATCTATTACTTTTCATTCAAAACTTCATCTTCATCGACATCATCAAAGTCAGATAACTTTTCAGTTCTCAAATACGTCTCATTTTATCGTGTAAAAATCTTTTTTTTTTCAGAATAAAATAGATTTGCATAGTAATAAATATTTCTTCGTTAATGTTTATAACACTACTTACCAAGTATCTTATTGATAGAGCAAATATTGTAAAATATAGTCGTTTGAAATAGTTTTTCCTTTCTCAACTAAGAATGAAAATCATGCCTTTTTTCTTCCATCTATTATGTATATATGTGTTTTATTTCTTAATGTGACAAAATGCGATGAAGTAATGCGTATTAATAATTGTGAGGATTTGATTTGATATGTTTTATGCTTTCTGACTCTATTGAGTTGTTTCAAAAAAAAAGCATGATAATCATAACATTTTTTTCTTAAAAATAGTAATAAAACTCAGACAAAAAAATTGAATTAATATATCCTTAATAAATAAGTAGATTATCTGATGATATTTTTCTCATGATATTTTCTATTTGAGAGAACAGAAAGGGTGTGAGTGTGGGTGGGTGTGTGGTTGTGAGAGAAGAGGAGCCCTTAACACCCTCAGCCATACCCGCCTACAGTCACCCAGATCCATACACCCACACCCTCAGTATGATTTTCGCTTCATTTACTCTTCATTTAATTCATTTATTAGATTTTTGCATTAAATCTCTTGTTTTACATTATTTTCATACATTAGTAGTTTATACAAACACTGTTGCAAGATTTTTGACGTATCTATTCACCTTCTTTTTTATTGATTAAAATCAGTATTCGCCAAATAAAAATCGATCATGCAAAAGGTTTGCATGAATTCTGTACGATTTGAAGGCGTTAGTAATAACTCTTTTTTATGATGTTTTGACCAAATAAAATCTTTTGGGTATCATTTTCATTCGCTTTTGAAGATCTCTATTAATATATTAATATGCTGTTTATCAGAACAAGATCTCCTATATTGTGTTAAAATAGTTATACTGTTATATGAAAGAATAAATAGTACCCGATTTGATAAAAAAAATTATTTCACAGACTAGTTGCTCTAATGACAAAACAAACTTTCAATGGAATATCTTACAAAAAAGGTTTGCTCTTGCTCAAATAGCAACATCGTTTGATAGACAATTCAATAAACTTTTGACTACGTCTCTCTTGTAAGCAAACTTATTTTTTAGCTGCTATTAACAATGCGATAAGACCGATCATACATTTATATTTGGTGACTTTTACCATTATAAATGTGTGATCATTTTTTCCGTATAAAAATACTGTTGTGTGTTTAAATTATAAGACTCGAAGTAGTAAATTCGATAGATGATATACCACATTATCATTTGTGAGAACGTTTTCTAATATCTTTAGGTCTAACAATTTTATTATTTTTTTAAAACTATTTATAGTAGAATGTTTTAAATATGTTTGTACGGAATAGTTTTCTTTTTCTAACAGAAAACAAAAAAGTTCTTACGATATTCTTCAATCAATAGCTATTTCTCATTCACTGATACAGTTCTTTTGTTTTAACAAATTCCTTATGGCCATTTAACAACAAAACGATGTATGGCAAAGAGAAGCAACATTCACTGAATAGATCATCTTTCTATTTCAATTTTATTTCAATGATAAAGTATTAGTGGCTTATTGAATTACTAAAATAATTGCATAGATAAAGCCAAAAAAGTTGGAAAGAATAACTATAAAACGAAATCATTTCGTTCTATCGCAAACATTGTTAAGAAATTGATTTTTTTTGATCTGACTCTTGCTCTTCACAACAGTATTTTAAAAGGTAACTAGTTGAAGCAAGCTAAAAAATACGTCATTGTTATTATAAATAGGAGTGTTAGGTCTTTTTACCATTTAGAAAACAACAGTTATTGCTAAGCTTATATTCAACATCAAATTAGAAAAAGAACCAAATGAGTGAATCAGAATCCAATCCAAAAGCTTCTTTATCATTAAACACGACCATAACACCATCGGATGCTATTCAACAAAGGCGACGGATGGTTCGGAATTATTCGCTTGTCTGTTTAGTTGAGTGTATGGATGAAGCGAACCAAGAATATCAAAATATTTTCGTACAATTAAAAGCCAATACTGACAATGTCAATATCTTCAAGCAAAGAGACGAATGTGTCGATTTTCTTACAGATGCTGAAGAAAACATCAAATTTTTTCTCGTCCTTGAGAACACTATGGCTCAACACATAATGTCGCTAATGAATGATATCTCTCAACTGCATAGTGTTTATATCTTCAATAACATTAAATCTCAACATGAAGAATGGATAACAAAATGGCAAAAAATCAAGAGCGTTCATACCAACGTCAATGACTTATGCCAAGCATTAAAATTCGATATCAAGCAGTTCAACCAAGATACGATTGCCATGAGTTTTATCACGGTAGATGAAATGGCTTCGACGAATGATTTGAATCAATTGGAGCCAACTTTTATGTATACCCAGCTATTCAAGGAAACTCTTCTTGATATGAAACACGATGAACAGGCGATTAAACAGTTTACCACTTATTGCCGACATCATGACTGCGGATCAGGAAAGAATATTGATGAATTTGAAAAAAAATACCAACCTCAATCAGCTATTTG